TGTATTAAAGTCCGAGTGAAACAGTCGTGTGTAAATCTGATTTTGTCAGAAATGCGGAGAGAAATGCGGGAGAAATATGACCGCCGGGAGAAACCGGGAGAGGGCAATGAAATCGGGAGTCTCCCGCGAAAATCGGGAGGGTTGACAAGTATGACTCCAGCTACTAACAATTATGATAAGCCACAATTAAAGTAAAACATATTTCAGATTTTGTCATAAACCACATTGTAATGTAGTGATGCTTTCATTTTCAATTTGTGTGTAACTAACTTCATTTTCATAAAACAACTGTGTCAGAAATCAATGGAAAAGATGGCTGCCGGGAACATTAATAGTAAATTCCAAGTTTAATCGCCTGCACTCACAGAAGTGTTGCAGTCAAGTTAAGTATGATTTGTAGTGCAAGAGCAACTTTAACAGCAGCTGTAACAGTTCCTCAGAACCAATCACTGATGCTGTGTGTAGTCAGAGGTGGACATTACATTTTCAACAAAAAGGCAATAAAACACTGCATTTAGGTTCATATAAAGTCACTTTTAATGACGACTACGAGCCTACCCTTGGCTTATTATGGTAACCTTTGCTTCAAAAATATCTATTGCATAAAGAAGTTCCAGACTCTTGTTTATCTGGTATTGTTATTCATCTAAACTGAAGTGTTTATTGTTCATAAATCAAATAACATGACGCCATAAATCCTCCTGATTGATCCAGATGTTTCTCCGTCTAATCCGTGTGCTCAGAATCCCATTTATTTGTGAACATTACGACAGCGTTACTAAGAAAATATCTGCTCAAATCGATGTGACCTCTGGAGAACAGTTTGTGACTTGACCATATTTTCGTAATTGTGATAAACGCCCTGTGATGAAATACTGTCCAGTGCAGGAGAGGAGAGGAATTTATCCCAGATGTGGATGTTGTTCTGAAAATATGACTCTCCCGAGGTGTAGGACATATCTGGGAACATGTGGAAAAACTGTAATAATGGAAGGAAAAGAATCCAAAACTGTTCAAGCTAATCGTAAATTATTTCAGCTGAACGCTCAAATCCTTCCTAGAAAAAAGGAAATCTGATCCCTTACAAATAAACAAGTTACATTTTTTTTTTACATTCTTCAAAACCCCCTTAGACAACATGTATGTTTTCAGGCTTTGAAGAAAAATGAAATGTTTAAAGCCACATGGGTTTAAAATGACTCACATTAAAAAAGTGTCTAGAATGTGTCCCAAAGTCTAAACACACATTTAACCTCAGGAAACATATTTCATGTTCATTTAAAATAAATACATGATTTTCTACAACAAGAAAATGTCTATGGATGGGGTTTTGTTACATATAATGTCAGTAGGTGAAGGAAAAAAAAACTAAAGTGTGGGATTATAGCCTTTGCAGACCATTTACATGCACTAAAACCAACACACTACAGGGAAGGGAAACCCCAAAAAGCAGAATGGGGCCTCTTTAAAACCCTGGTAGTGAAAGGTTATTGTTAGGCAATCATAACTGTTGTTGCACTGATCCACTTTTGTAATCATATTTTGTAATATTCACTCCAGCTTGGTTTCAGAACGCACCATCAATCAGAAAAGTTCATTAAAAAAAAAAGCCCCAAATCGCCTGAAAACCAGAGTTTCTATCTGAATCTGCTTAAATCAGGTGAACATCAAGTAAAGGACTTATCATAATGCCCATGTGTGTTCAATTCTCTACCTCTCTTAAGCCCTGAGGAGGTGTTGTCGCTCACTGATTGGCCAAAATGCACCAAGTGGCACTCAATGGCTAATTAGGGACCATCAGGAGAACTGAATACCCTCCAATCAATCAGGGAATCGTCACATTTAGCTAAAAGGAATTAGGAAAAGGGAAATGACAACAAGTATCAAAGAAAAAGGGACCACCACACATTTGTATATGTTCCATGTATTTAATCCACTATTCAAGGTATCAATTGGTTTTCATTCATTACAAAAAAACAGTTAGGCTCTTTCCCTTGTTGTTTAGTTCACCAGAGAGAATATCATATCTGCACTGATATGCAACTTTGTTATAATAATGTGGTTACCTGGCGCTCTGTATCACAAGACATTTCAAGAGCCTGATATTAGATTGGTGTATCATCTAGACCAGGCGTGTCCAAACTACGGCCCGGGGGCCAAATGCGGCCCGCGGACCATTTTGAATCGGCCCTCAGCAAATTCAAAAGTATAATGGAATATGGCCCACAAATGAAACTTGTGCTTGTCTTATATTTTACTTCTTAAATATAAATGTACAAATAAATTCTTCAGTAGTGTTCATGTGTTAATGAGACCACTTTTCAAATAAATTCAGTCAATTAAAGTTGGAAACATGTTCTAACATATCTTAGTCGATAAGAAAAAAGCCCAATGACTTATTTACATAACAAGCTTGAAATATACCCTTCTTATTTCTCCTGATTATAATCAATCTGAGGCTTCTGTTTTAAGGGATGAGCTGCCAACACTCACAAGCATCACTTACCTACATTTGATTGATTTTGCCAACTTATAACTGAACTTATGAGGCAATATACCTCTAGTGAGTGGCCCAACCCTTCGTTTATTTTTCTGTACGTGGCCCTCGGGGAAAAAAGTTTGAAAACCCCTGTACTAGACAAATAAGCTATATCTTCATGATTGTTATAAAGGTTTGAATGGGGTTAAACCTAATTTCCTCCGCTTTATGGACAACCAGGGATGTTTAAAGTGTTTTCTGCTCCTCTCTGCAGGTCTGTGCCGAGTCAGTGTGTGTGAAGCACCGCCTGCAGCAGTGCGACTGTCCGGGAGACTCCATGAAGGAGAAATGCCACATGTGCTGCCAGCAGCCCGGTAACTACTGCCTGTCCTCCACTGAGGAATGTGTTTACCCTTTGTGTCCCAACACGTCAGCCTGTGTCAGTCTGTACTGAGGTCACACGACTGTTTTCCATTAGATGACCTCAAAACAAGAGACAACATCTCACACGATGGTTTGGGTACAGCGTGTGAGATGTTTGTTAAAGGTCACCTATTATGCAAAATCCTCTTCTCCATGTCTCTTCTACATCAACATGTGTCCCCTCTTCTCCATGTCTCTTCTACATCAACATGTGTCCCCTCTTCTCCATGTCTCTTCTACATCAACATGTGTCCCCTCTTCTTCATGTCTCTTCTACATCAACATGTGTCCCCTCTTCTCCATGTCTCTTCTACATCAACATGTGTCTCCTCTTCTTCATGTCTCTTCTACATCAACATGTGTCCCCTCTTCTCCATGTCTCTTCTACATCAACATGTGTCCCCTCTTCTTCATGTCTCTTCTACATCAACATGTGTCCCCTCTTCTTCATGTCTCTTCTACATCAACATGTGTCCCCTCTTCTCCATGTCTCTTCTACATCAACATGTGTCCCCTCTTCTTCATGTCTCTTCTACATCAACATGTGTCCCCTCTTCTTCATGTCTCTTCTACATCAACATGTGTCCCCTCTTCTTCATGTCTCTTCTACATCAACATGTGTCTCCTCTTCTTCATGTCTCTTCTACATCAACATGTGTCCCCTCTTCTCCATGTCTCTTCTACATCAACATGTGTCTCCTCTTCTTCATGTCTCTTCTACATCAACATGTGTCTCCTCTTCTTCATGTCTCTTCTACATCAACATGTGTCCCCTCTTCTCCATGTCTCTTCTACATCAACATGTGTCCCTTCTTCTCCATGTCTCTTCTACATCAACATGTGTCCCCTCTTCTTCATGTCTCTTCTACATCAAC